ACGCAAACATTCTGGTCACTTACCGAAAAGACCTTAAAGAAAGAAAAAACGCAAAAATTTGGTCACTTACCGGGAAGAGCTTAAAGGAAAAAAGAAAAAACATTTGGTTGACTTACCAGAAAGAGCTTAAAGAAAAAACAAACAAAATTTTTGGTCACTTACCGGAAAGAGCTTAAAGAAAGAAAGGCCGTTATTATAGTGTAATACTGTTCTAAACAGATGTAAGGCCGTTATTATAGTGTAATACTGTTCTAAACAGATGTAAGGCCGTTATTATAGTGTAATACTGTTCTCCATTCATATTCTAGAACAATAATTCTGCTCGCTCTATTCTCACAATACCTGCGAAATATTGACATTCGTTGCTGTAGTTACAGCAGAGATGGAGGGTGGAAGAAGAAAAGCTTTCCCTTTTTTAAGCTCTTTCCGGTAAGTGACCAAAAAATTTGCGTTTTCTTTCTTTAAGCTCTTTTTGGTAAGTGACCAAAATGTTTGCGGTTTTTTTCTTTTTAAGCTCTTTTCGGTAAGTGACCAAAATGTTTGCGGTTTTTTTTCTTTCTTCAAGCTCTTTCCGGTAAGTGACCAAAGATTTTGCGTTTTTTTTTCTTTAAGTTTTTTCCGGTAAGTGACCAAAATGTTTGCGTTTACATCTGTTTAGAACAGTATTACACTCTAATAACGGCCTTACATCTGTTTAGAACAGTATTACACTCTAATAACGGCCTTACATCTGTTTAGAACAGTATTACACTATAATAACGGCCTTACATATGTTTAGAACAGTATTACACTCTAATAACGGCCTTACATCTGTTTAGAACAGTATTACACTCTAATACCTGCCTTACATCTGTTTAGAACAGTATTACACTCTAATAACGGCCTTACATCATTTAACAATTCTAGAAACATTGTAATCTTCCTAGAATGGGAATGAATGAGTTTTGATTGAAAAGCCACGACAACTATGGTTTTATCTAATTCTACATTTTACAGTGTTGCTTCGTCACAATTCTTCTACTTTTGGTGACTAGATGATGCCAGGTTAACAATGGCGAAACGTCGCTGTCATTACAATTTTGTTTCCATCACCTAGTACTATAGTTTCTATCTGCCCCTTCTTTCAAACTCCCCATGTCTCGCGATAATAACGTGCAACCCTGAACTAAAGGTGAAGTTATGTAACACCAAGTAATTTTTAAACGATGAAGCGAGGTTGTGTTTATGTCATTAACAGAAGGCCCGGCATGACCAGGTGGTTAGGGCGCTCCACTCGCAATCTGCGGGTCGCGGGTTCGAATTCCCGTCCCACCAAACATGCTCGCCCTTTCAGCTGTGGGGGCGTTATAATGTGACGGTCAATCCCACTATTCGTTGGTAAAAGAGTAGCCCAAGAGTTGGCGGTGGCTGGTGATGACTAGCTGCCTTCCCTCTAGTCTCAAACTGCTAAAATAGGGACGGCTAGCGCAGATAGCCCTCGTGTAGCTTTGCCCAAAATTCAAAACAAACAAACATTCATGGTTTGTAAAAGTCATCAACTGAACAAAAGGCGGATGATAACAACATTTACACACACAGCTCAGTAATAAAATTCAGAATCCCTTAGATATAGAATTAGGAAGCAAAGCTGATGCTAAAAACGCAAACAATCGTACTTAGGACATCCATCGTTTAGATGTCTAATACATCATCCCAAGGATGTAGTCCGTCGTTGACGTGGATGATGGCCATATGGAGCAGATAACACCCTCTGGCGAAAATAAATTCATATTCTCAATAGTCTCATTGGTGTATCCGTCAAGAATCGTTACTTCATGAGGAAATATTCATCTTGTTGATGTTCAAGTATGTGAAGAAACTTTATAAGAACCCTGTATTGAAATCTATGAAACTCATTTTTGTGAACAATCTAGCTACTGCAAGCCATTATACAATCACACTAAATCAACGCCGAACTATGGATTGTGGGATCCAATGTTCGGGTCCCGCTACCAACAAACAGAACAAACTTGCGCTCCGCACTTTGGAACCGTGAGTGCGTTATAAAGGTGATAGTCAAGTCTTCTTAATCAGTCAGACATGAGTAGCCCAAAAGTCGGCTACTCTTGACCAGCTGCCTTACCTCTAGTTTATCAGTTTAAAATAAAGGTTGGCTAGCTTAGAGACCTTTGAGAGATTTTGCCCAAAATATGAAACTAACTCCGTTATTAGCCGCGGCATAACGGCTCATAGAATGGCTCCGAAATAGTTTTTTTTTCAAGTACAAACTTTTAGCTCCATCTCTTGACTGATTTGAGATGTAATTACAGCCGCGGCTATTGAGGATTCCTTCTTGTTTTTATTTTATACCTGTAAGGAAAACGATAACATAAACATCTTAACACATAATACTCTGAACCCAGTCTACTAATGATTGTACGAGGTTGTTAAAAATATGCAGTTTATCAGAAGTAATGGTAAATACTCATTAAAATACAGTGACACTAGTTTCAATAAAGATTTTCTGTTCCAATATTCTTACTTACAGAATTGCTATCCCCCAGTTTTTACTAGCTGAAGATGCAGCTTCTTCAAACAGTGAGAGTCCTATCAAGGCTACGGTCGGGACGATGGCAAGAGGGGTTATCCATTGAAGAAGAAATCCAATAATTCCAGTGAATCCGATTGCCACTTCAAACAAAGATGCCACGATGATAGCACCTTGGATCTAAATAGGTGTTCATAATAAATACAATATAAATCACCTTGAATCTAAATAGGTGTTCATGATAAATACAATATAAATCGCCTTGGATCTAAATAGGTGTTTGTGATAAATACAATATAAATCACCTTGGATCTGGATAGGTGTTCACGATAAACACAATATAAATCACCTTGGACCTGGATAGATGTTCACGATAAATACAATATAAATCGCCTTGTATTAAATAGGTGTTCGCGATAAATACAATACAAATTACCTTGGATCTAAATAGGTGTTCATAATAAATACAATATAAATCACTTTGAATCTAAATAGGTGTTCACGATGAACACAATATAAATTACATTAGCAGTAAATACAATTCACTAAGTCATACAAGTGAAGATGATCTCAAAACACACCTGTATTCTGGATTCTATATCGCGTGTAATGCTTTCCAAACAACAAGTTTTCGGGTAACAATTAATGCCAAACCAAGAACGTAACTAATATTTTCACTTATCTCTTAGAACGTGTTGCTCTGTTTAAAAAAAACAAACCTCTTCCTTAAAACTCGGGAATAACAGTTAATCATTTGGACATATATTCATATTTTATGACTCAATATAAGCTAAACATTTGCTTCATTTTTTAATTAATTCATTTGCTGTTTATTTTATTTTTATTGCATACTTAAACAAGGGGCTTTTTGCGGCCTGTAAACCGCAGAGAATCGAACTTTCGATTTTAGCTTTGTAAGTCCTTAAACTCACCACTAACCCATGAATGGCCCAGTGGCACAGCGGTATGTCTGCGGAATTATACCCCTAGAAACCGGGTTTCGATACCCGTGGTGGGCAGAGCATAGATAGCCCATTGTGTAGCTTTGTGCTTAATTACAAACAACAACAACAACAACTAATCCACCGCAGGAAATTTATTTTATGAATCGGAAATGACGTTTTGCAGTAAAACAAACAATCATACCGAGCATAAATGCATGGAAAATACATTTACCTCTCTTAATCTTGATTGCCAGACTTCTCGTAGTTCTTCATCTGTTACAGGAAGTGACTTATTAATTCCTGGATCCCTAGCGGCAATGATAGCCTCTTCACTAGGACATTTCCATTGAGGCAAACCCATAATTGCAAATGTAGGCACCAGTAACGTGAATGACGAACCCTGTATTATGGGAAGCCTAATTAAGTACAAGAAAATACATAATATAAAGATGTACCGTGTAGTGTGCAACAGTGGTAATCAGTTCAAGAGACAATGTATTGTTTTATATATATATATATATACTTTGCTTTCATTAGTATGTTATTTGAAAATGTTCAAAATACGCAAAAATAAACTTTCGTTCTTATTTATTTTTTAATAAACACAGAGAGCTTGTAGTTTCAACCTTTTTAATACTGTTTTAAAATAGATATTTTGGCAAAAGCAGATTATTTTATTTTTATATAGTTTAATTTTTTCTTATATATATATATACATTTCTCGACTGACCCAATATAAACTTGTTTGTATGGAATTAATTTCAACAGACATTAGTTTGTTTGTTTGTTTTTAAATTTCGCGCAAACTAGACATCCCTAATTTAGCAGTGGAAGACCAGAGGGAAGGCAGCTAGTCACCAACACTCACCGCGAACTCTTGGGTTACTCTTTTACCAACGAATATTGGGATTGACCATGACATTAAAACGCTCTCACGGCTGAAAGGGCGAGCATGTTTGGTGTGACGGGGATTCGAACCCGCAGATTGCGAGTTGAGTGCTCTAACCACCTGGCTATGTCGGGCCCAACAGACATTAGAGTGTCACGAAAAACCGTGCTAACTGTTAACTTTGCTTTGATACATTTTTACAAATGAAGACAGTTAAAACGTGAAGGAAACATATTAATGTCACATATGAACTCTTAAGACTGTACTTCTTGACTAATTTACCCGCAACAGACTGGTGACAGTCCACATTTGAGTGGATCTTGAGAGACGGGCGTAGCATTGGTGATGTGAATGTTTGTGATATTTCACCACACCTCAAATTCAAGCTCATTGTGGATAAGAACTGAAAACAAAAATACTGGACGTCCTAAGATTGCATATCATTCAGGCCACCCATCTTAATCATGTCTTGATCAATGTGAACTTTGGCACGTGTACTGAAATTCGGATTTGATAATAAACCCATCATTCAACTCTTCAGTAAGAGGTCAGGATTGCGGGATAGCACATCCACGGATGGATCGGAGTAATTCATTATCATGCTCATTGTTTGCTTTGGATCTGGATTTCACGAGAACCTGGAAGTCATTTTGGATACGACTATGAAATTCCAACAGTGGTAGAGTTCTATCATGGTGTGGGACCGTTTTATCAGTCACTAAACGTTGTTAGGAAACATCATATTAAGTTCTGTATATACTGGTGCCACGCTTTGAAAGCGACAGAAAACTTGTAATATTGCACAAAGCAAAAACAAAACAACAACAAACAAACTGGTTTTTATTATGTGTTTTGTAAGTAAGGTGTATTCTATTCCATTTAATGTTAGCTTCATAAAAAGTATTGGTTAATATGTTTAATGCATATGATATATTTATATTATTTTTACTTTTTCAGTTATATATTTTGATTATGAGGATAATTTTGCATTGTTAACATAGTGTATAGATTTAGGACTAAGCTAAATTTCATAAGCTAGCTGAAAACATTGTTTACATAGTGTATAGATTTAGGACTAAGGTAAATTTCATAAACTAGCTTAAAACATTGTTAACATAGTGTATATATTTAGGACTATGCTAAATTTCATAAGCTAGCAAAAAACATTGTTAACATAGTGTATATATTTAGGACTAAGCTAAATTTCATAAGCTAGCTGAAAACATTGTTTACATAGTGTATAGATTTAGGACTAAGGTAAATTTTATAAGCTAGCTGAAAACATTGTTAACATAGTGTATAGATTTAGGACTAAGGTACATTTTATAAGCTAGCTGAAACATTGTTAACATAGTGTATAGATTTAGGACTAAGCTAAATTTCATAAGCTAGCAGAAAACATTGTTAACATGGTGTATATATTTAGGACTAAGCTAAATTTCATAAGCTAGCTGAAAACATTGTTTACATGGTGTATAGATTTAGGACTAAGGTAAATTTCATAAGCTAGCTGAAACATTGTTAACAGCGTGCGTATTGATGAATCAATCATTGGAAGTTGGTGGTTAGGGCGCTCGTCTCACAATCTGCTGGTCGCGGGATCGAATCCGCGTCGCCGAACATGCTCGCCTTTTCAGCCGTAGGGGTGTTATAATGTGACGTCTATCCCACTATTCGTTGATAAAAGAGTAGATCGAGAGTTGGCGGTGGTGGAGTTGAATATCTGCCTTCCTTCTAGTCGATCAGTGATAAATTAGGGACGGATAGCGCAGATAGCTCTCGAGTATCTCGGCGCGAAATTCAAGACAAACCAAAACAAATCATTGCAAGTTGTTTATTCATGATATTAAATATTTCTAGTTAGCTATATCATTTGTTGGGTTATGTTTTAATACCGATCTATAATCAGAAACTAATGCCAGTTGTCCTATTGTGACGTTCTGTCTATACTGATAGATTGGACGAGGAAGGGGCTATTTTCTTTCAGCTTACCTCACGTCGTGATCGGTTTGAGTCAAATAATGTCCAGAATGTATCGTGTTCATCCCAGAATGACAAAGCGAATTCAGTTAAGCCACTTGCTCTGCAGGAGCATGCAGTATCGGTTCATTCCATCAAAAGTGTGTATTACAAACGCTAATAACAGAGTCAAGGTTGTGATTAACAATGAAGGCCGGGTCAGCCATTAGCAACGCAAGATGGCAACCGGTTTTTTAAGACATGCTGTTCAAATACTTTCGATAATTAAAGCATAGTTTACAAGGACCGTATCTATAAACTCTGAGATAATACACATGAATCGTCCATTGTTCAATAGATAGTTAACGACTCGTTTTTAATCACACAGAATGATGATGGTAGATTTAGATTTTTGAAGCGTTAATTTACGTTTCAATGTGAGACGCTACTATACAAAAACCGTTTCTCTTTTTTTGTAATAAAATATTTCCAAGTGTAGCGAATTATTCATATGACTTTCGCTGAGCCCCCCCCCCCAGTGGCATAGCGGTATATCTGCGGATTTACAACGCTAGAAACCGGGTTTCAATACCCGTGGTGGGTAGAGCACAGATAGCCCTTTCTGTAGCTTTGTGCTTAATTACAAACAACAACAACCTCCCCCCGGTACATGTTGGATGATGTCTGTACAATATTATTTTAATTATCACAAGGGGATCAGAGTTTTCGGATTCAATAGTATTTTAATTATCACAAGGGGATCAGAGTTTTCGGATTCAATAGTATTTTAATTATCACGAGGGGATCAGAGTTTTCGGATTCAATAGTATTTTAATTATCACAAGAGGATCAGAGTTTTCGGATTCAATAGTATTTTATTTATCACAAGGGGATCAGAGTTTTCGGATTCAATAGTATTTTATTTATCACAAGGGGATCAGAGTTTTCGGATTCAATAGTATTTTAATTATCACAAGGGGGATCAGAGTTTTCGGATTCACACATTTTCCACGGAACAACTTCTTATTACTTTAAGCTATAATCAACCTTCTCCAACAAAAAAGTGTTCAAGATACAAAATACTTAGGATTGAAATATTTGGTTGTTAACAAAGGATCGTATTCTGTTCCGAGATTCTGTATTCCTGGATTATAGCCCAAAAAATAATTTGTCAAACTTAACCTTGTTATTTGGAAACGAGCGTTACGCTGGTTGCCTATCAACACTAATAGGTTAGAAGAAAAGATGTTTGTGTTTTAAATCTTTGATTTCGGTGACTTGAAAATGAAAATAATATTAGGGTATGCAATCAATATCATATGGAGGGAATATTTAGGCGTTTGTGTACATAAAATGAAAGATAAAAAACAAACTGGGGGATTTCAGCTTCAAAATACACTGATAATAATTAATTACATTATTAATCAAACTAGTTTTATTAAAAATTTTTTCAGATGCTTAATAACGACTAGAACCAAAAATATATGTTTATTCAAAACATGTTGCCCGGCCCGGCATGGCCAGATGGTCAACATTTGTTTATTCAGGACACGTTGCTCGGCCCGGCATGGCCATGGGGTCAATATTTATTTATTCAGGGCATGTTGCTCGGCCCGGCATGGCCAGGTGGTCAGGACGCTCGACTCGCAATCTGAGGGTCGCGGGTTCGAATCCCTGTCACACCAAACATGCTCACCTTTTCAGCCGTGGGGGCGTTATAATGTTACGGTCAATCCCACTATTCGTTGGTAAAAGAGTAGCCCAAGAATTGACGGTGGGTGGTGCTGACTAGCTGCCTTCCCTCTAGTCTTTCAATGCTAAATTAGTGACGACTAGCGCAGACATCCCTCTTGTAGCCTTGCGCGAAATTAAAAAACAAACAAACAAATAGACACGTTGCTCATGTACATCTGGTATTTACGACAGTTTTACACTAAACTCTCTTAATACTTAAAAGAATAACTAAAAATGTATTATTCTGAGAATGGTAAGGAATATAATACTTACCTCGTACCAAAAATTGATTGAATCAATGTACCAAGACCTGAAACAAAGAACGTTGTAGATGTAATGTAGCCACGGGCAGGGTCGTTCTCACCGATACAAAATTTGGGGGATATCAGATAAGGATACGCCACGGTAGCTCCAAACATCGTCAGATATTGCTAATTAATGAGAGAAATAAATATAACATAATCAAAAACTCAAATATGGCTTAAAACTTGCCATTCGAAACAAACGAAACACTGATTACCTAGGTTCGTCCCACGGTGGCATAGCAGTAAGTTTACGGACTTACAAAGCTAAATTTGGGATTCGATTCCCCGCAGATAGCCCAACGTGGCTTTGCTCTAAAATCAGAAAATATTAGATATATCTATGTATATATACACAATGTTATGAATGAATTTTCCAGTCAAGGTTGTTTAAAAACACGTTTAACGAGATTTAAGGGTTCTAATTAGATAACACGTAATTTGAGAAATAATGGTGATTAATAATGTGATTAGGTTCGGGACAAGCGTTTTTAATTATGTTGACACATGTTCAGTGTCAAGTAAGTTATTTATTACTTCCGATAACTTTACTACGGAAAAAAAGCTGATAGCGGAAGTATAGCGGATATTGTGGTTTTAAAACTCAAGAAATAGTAAGACAAACTGATGAAATATTTTCCGTCACATATTGAAAATGTTAATGACCGATGACCATAAGTAGCTAATGTTAGTGTATGTAATTACTAAATTATACACATGTAAGTATACACACAGGTACGAACATTCTTACACAAATATAAGTTATATATATGTAAGCATACACACACATACACAGGCATAAACATTCTTACACAAAATATAAGTTATATACATGTAATTACATTTAAATAATACGTAATGCTTGGAAAATAATGTAAAACTAAGTTTGGTCACTATCAGTCAGTCAAATAATTTATAACTAAATAAGTTTAAGGATGAAGTTAGTTTTAAACAAGTCAAATAAGGCCGTTGCCTTAGAACTCCGGTTCTAACGACACAAGCGTGTGAGAAAGATAACGGAATGTCTCAAGTTAATCGCCAGCTAACAGCTAGGTTACCATCACACAAGATAACGGAATGTCTCAGGTTAACCGCCAGCTAACAGCTTGGTTACCATCACACAAGATAACGGAATGTCTCAGGTTAACCGCCAGCTAACAGCTAGGTTACCATCACACAAGATAACGGAATGCCTCAGGTTAACCGCCAGCTAACAGCTAGGTTACCATCACACAAGATAACGGAATGTCTCAGGTTAACCACCAGCTAACAGCTAGGTTACCATTACACAAATGGCTTGATCAAGGACACGACAACATGTCATGATCAAGCCACAAATTCACAACCAGTGAGCCACGTTTCCCCAATGAACTTAATAGTAGATATCAAAAATACATTTTACGTTAAGTTAGGCTTAACTTCAGTTTACTGTTAGGCTAGATTAAAATTATAGTGTAAATTTAATTATTAAACTAACCATAAATACAGTCTTAATGAAACTTAACTAATGTTTTCAAAAGAGTATGTAAGTTGAATACATTTCCTTCTGTGTTTTCATCGATGGGTCTAAACCAACCAGAATCTCATGGTTTGTCTTGCTTACTATACTTAGATTAGGCCTAACTCTTTATACTACACATCCACACAAAAATAATCAATCTAGTTTTTAAGATGTTGACGTAAAATACTTTTAATTATTTTATTTAATATCATTCGACTATATATAAACATTATTAGACATGGGGACTAATTCTGACTACACACGTTCTCAGTAATTCAATGTTATTTGGTATCCTAAATTAGTCAGAAACTATGAATATAAAGCTAATAACTAACATTTTACTACCAGCTAGAAGTGTAACAAATATAGATCCATGTAAGAAATGCAAAGTCGGGCAAATAACAACACATGAAATCTGTAGTTCAATAATTAAGTGTATGAAGTGGAATTTCACACTTTTAATTCACATGAGAAAGTAGAAAAGTATCGTATTAATTAAATATTTGTGTGATTAGTCATGCAAAACAAAATGAAGTTAGATTAAATCTTCAGTTACAGTTCTTTAAATTACGCATTACATTTTCTTTCTAACATATCGTTAGTCTTAAATGCATAAATGCATTTGAAAACAGTGTATCCCTTATATGGACCCTTCAGTGGCACAGCGATATGTCTGCGGACTTACAACGCTAGAAACTGGGTTTCGTTACCCGTGGTGGGTACAGCACAGATAGCCAGTCCATTATGTAGCTTTGTGTTTAATTTCAAACAAACCCTTATATAGGCTAAACTCCATGTAACTGAAAGATTAGGAAAGGCTTAAGAGGATTGATTTAACGTTGTCTCTCACCTGGATGCCCAGCAGAATACAAAGATACCAACGAGGTGTATCGTCGACCTTGTATACAACGTCTGTAGTGGTGCCACTTGCCGGAGATAGCTCCCCAACAGAAACCTGTTAATTTTTAAAATTTATGATTACTTTATATCAAAAAAGACAGAAAGAGAGAAATAAAACACTCTTCAAGTATCTAAGTAAAAACATCATCCGAAGAACAAGTGCAATAATGTTGTCTTGTTTTATTTTCAGAAGATTGGGTAGTTTGAGTTTAATCTAAATTAGTTTTGTAATTTCTGAATGCATTTATCATCAGAGGCCTATACAAAGTTTGAAAAATACCAAGTACATAAGAAAACAGTTTAGTGCTGACTAAAGCGAGACTTTCCTCCTTCATTTGGAAGTTATAATCTTACTTTAGTTAATAATTCGAGAGTTAAGTGGTGATTTGATTAGAATACAGTATCTTTTAACGTGACATTTATTGAACTCGTAAACTTATATAGGTCCAAAATATGTCAATTTTGACAGGACGTCTATGTAGAAACTGTTTCTGAATGATGACATTTCTCATTGTAGCTGCCCCCTAGTGACACAGCGTTATGTCTTCGGACCTGCAACGCTAGAACCCGGGTTTTGATACACATGGTGAGCTAGTTAGGTTTGAATTTCGCGCAAAGTTAAACGAGGGCATTCTGCGCT